GTTGATAATAACTGTTGTATTTGATTATGTTAAGGTTTGCAGCAAAGTGAACAATGACCGACCGCTACGGAAAGTAATGGAAATGAAATAGAAGTAAATGTGTTTATTGACAGAGAAGTGACATTGTGAGCGACTGACCTTGAATTTTTATTAATTCACCTTTTTAGTGCCTGTGCTTGTCAGGGCGTGAAATATTATCACGTTGTCTTTAGAAACTTTCATCTTTCAGTAAATGAATGAATGAATGAATTATTGAATGAAATAATCTTCTGATAACACGCACGCCCAGTCACCATTTGTCTTCTACAAGCTGCTTGCATCGATAATTTCGACTGTTTTTCTCCTCTGTAATTAATAATAAAAATAATTATAATGATGAAAAGAAATTAAAAAATTATAAAATAATATTATTAATATTAGTAATGTAATAAAGACCTGATTTTCGCAAGTATTAATTTGAATAACAATTCAGTTCTACAAGCTCAATCCAGCTCTGATCTTCTCAAGTTGCATTTAACATTTGACATCTAACGATTAATATTTGAATTTTGCTCACAATTTTCGGTAAAATTAATTTAATAATAATAACAATAATAATAATAATAATAATAATAATATTTCAGCATTGTTTGATTATAAATAATATATTTGTTTGATTCATTCCGTTTCATCCCAAAAATATTCAATCAGATTTGTGATTATTTTTAAGAAAAGGCACATCTTCATTTATTCAACTGAAAATTAGAAAAATTTTAAGTTCGAAATTTTGAGCAATTTTTATTACAATTATCGTTTTTGCTGTTTTATTTTCTGTCATAAACTGAATGCTATTTGAAATCCCTTCGAGAAAGATATTAATTAAGTGCTGAATGCTTCTGATGTAAAATTTTGAATTGAGAATGCTGGCAAAAGTTGTGCTAAGGCAATGATTCACGCATGAATTGAACAGCAATCCTTTTTTATTTTTTACATGCATATTTATTTATTTATTTATTTATTTTTTACGTTTGCTTAATTCCTCGTTGTACGCTCTGATTCTTTTGAGAATACTAAGCTTTGTGAATGTCTAGCACACAATTTCATGAATAGCTTTTATCTCAGTCTGAGGAACATATCTGCTATTGATTCCACCAGTAACTTCTGCTGGAGCGTAAAAAAGCAAAAAAAAGACTGCTTACCAATTTGGGCAGTTTTTTCACTTTCTAACTAACTAAACACAGATGATTCGAAAATGAATTAAGTCAAATTAATTAATTTAATCGCTTGAAGAGCTTTCATATGTTTTCAGCTTTCCACTCTTTAGTTTCCTTCTTTTGATAGAGAAATCGCTGTTGTGATTAATTGATCAACTGATCATAATAACGAGAAATCATTCATTCGCAGTATTTTTGATCGTTTACACGCTTTGAAATGATTTTTTATTCTTACTAATTTATTTTGTCAACTACGAAAAGGAAGAAAATTTGATCGCATTTTCCGTTATATAAATAATTTTTTTTGTTTGGATGTAAAATAAACAAATTCACAATTTATAAACTGATTGGGTCTGTTTTCTCGAAAATCATTTATAAAAATGTTATCACAATGACTAATAACTGCTGCAACTTTTAAATAATGCTTGTCTGCTTCTTAATCAGTTTATGCTTTACTTAAGAATTATTTATTAAGCTTTAAAATGAATAAATAATCATAATTAAATTACGTTGCATAGATTATATATGTATTGTATCTTCTGTTTCGGTTAGATGATACGCTGCGCAAACTTTTGTATTACGCTACATTGACTGACTACTACATTGAAGTCAACAAATGACCAAGAATGTCCTTAATAATTACTTTTAATCCAAATTCTCAACACAGAACTGAACTATTTTGCATTTACGAACGAATTTGATCATTCTTATCAATAAATTTTGTAAAAATAACTGTTGTAAACGACCAGCGCTAAAAATTAGCGTTTTTATTTTTCGTATTTTAATTCAGTGTATTGTAACTTTTATTGTATTTTACGGCACGTGGCAAACATCACTTACAAAAAAACTCGCTTTTGTTTGTTTACGTCCAAATTTATCTAACGAAAATTTGAAAATGTGAATCTGCAACACTCACAAGGAAAAAAACTAAACTTACTTTGCTTACAATAAGTATGCGAACTGCTATTAACGTATATTATATATTATATATATGCTATTTATATATGCAAATATAATGTGTAAGTAGCATTTTTCTGAACGTTGCAGTAAACAACGTTATTTTTCTAGACAACATTTTAACGCATTCTATGAATTGCTTGAATGCTTACTATTTTTTATAGCACTGATATTTGCTGTTACAATGCTTTTAGTTTTTAGTAGCATAAATTTCTTTTTATCTAACAAACTTTGTAAATTACATTTGCAAAATTGATCATTTGTCAGTTTTCAATGGCTATTAATACCATCAATATGAACTTAAATTCCGCAAATTTAATTACTGACTTTTTCATATTTGTTTGCAATTTATTGCCTAAACATCACATCACTGCAACAAAAAATAAAACGAATTCCAATCAAAATTTTGATAAGAAAATGAAAGTTAAAGGTGAAAGTTCAGTAGTAGATTGAAATTGATTGTTTATTTTTGTGTCTGAGTTTAGTTACTCAAAAATTTAAAACTCTTTTCTACGACAAACTGTTGAGTTTGACAGACTTTCAGTCCTATTTATTTCAAAAACATTTGGGCCTCTAAAATTTCCTCTATGTGCCACAGTAAACATTATTTGCAAATGAGTGAATAATTTTTCACACTTTTTTAAAATAATGAAAAATTTACGCAACAAAATATAAAATTTTTATATTTATTTATTCATTCTCAAGATAGGTCATTTTACGTAAAATATATTATGCTTATTTCATATTCTGGGGGCAAATAGCTCATGCACTTTCTATCATTGAATCACCTTCACTAATTATTGAAAAGTGTACAATTCTTGACACTTACGTGAACTGTGCCCCAAATTTTAATCAATGAGCATGAACTTTGACCAATTTTCGATTGATCTTTAATTGTAGTCATTTGAAGAAAAGTTGTCTTTTATACTATTTTATCATTTCGTTAATTGAGTCATTTATTTATTATTATAAGTAGCCTCGCATTGTTTTTTGCACTAATTTTTAATTTATGAGAAAGCAACTTCCATCTTTTTGAACTTTAGCAATTTCACATATAAAAATGGCACTTTTTCTGTTTGTGTGTTTATTGGAGTTTGTCTGTCTTTTTTATTTACTCAAATTAATTAAAGTGAATAATTCTGCAACTTTTTCTTAACCTTAAAAAACTAGCAAACATTATGGATTGCGTTAATTAAATTAAGCATTAATAGTACTATTCAAATTTATTCCAAAATAGATCGTACTTGTACTTTTACTTGCATTACAATGATTCTTTAGTGGCGTGAGTCACGTCAGTGGAAATCACGAATACGAATTCAAAGTATACACGTATACGCATACATTTTTACTATAAAATTTGATTGTTTTTTTTAAACGAAATTCATTGCCAAAATTTCCGTTCCAAATTGCTGACTTTTTGATGACATTTAAAGTAAGCAGAAAACGATGTCAGCGACATTTTGTTCTGTGGTATGTTTGATGTAAAATTACAGAAAATGACAGAATCATTTGGTCTATTTACACAGTTGCGATGTTTGCGCTATCAATTCTTCCTTATCACTGAGCAAACTTCCTGTTCGATTTTCAAAAAATTTTTACTTTGCATTTTCGATTTAATCAAAGATTAATTAGTATTTATTAGTTTTAATCTCCAAAATTTTCATTTTCAATATCAGTCTATTAGTCTCAAATGCATTTCGTTGATGAAAACATTTAAGTAAACGAGTAATTCTGTAGAATATTTCTATCAAAGAATTTTTCTTTGAGAAGTAATTTGTTTACTCATTCAGAAACGATGACAATACTAAGCACAGATTATTATTTTTCAAGCTTTAAAATTTATCTTTTACTCAAAAATTTCCTCTAAACAATTTGGTAATTTTGCCAGAATTTTCTGATAAACGTCTGTCTCTTTAACATCTGGAAATTATGGAGAAGAAATGCAAATGGAAGCATATGGACAATTTACATCAACTTTACTACAACTTTCTTCAACTTTACTATAAGATATTCATCTCATTTGCTTGGCAGATGTGTACAACATTAAAATAAGGTATATTTCTGATACCCATTATCCCTTTCTGACGTGCTTATTTTCGGACTAATTTTAGAAACAGGGTTGTCAGATGTTTTATGTAGTAAGGTCGACTTCTGACTACAAAATTTTTTATGTCATTACGTAGATCACTACTCTTTAGTCTGGACTGGTGCTAAATCTCTTCAGTTTTTTTTTGTTCGCATTGCTTGCTGAATTACTTTTTGCTAATGAATTTATACTCAAGCTCACATAAAATATTAAACTACGATCTAATGATAGTAGTTATCATGAACAATATTTATGATCACATGAACGTGTGTTTGAAAAAACTTGTCAGTTGATTCATATTATAGTGTCATCAGATTAACAGATGCCTCTATTGGATATAAAAGAGCCAAAAATCTTTCTTTGGTCAGTAAAATAATTTTGCACTGTGCGAAAAATAGTTATTGGTCATTTAATCGCATTACTTTTTGCAAATATTTTTTTGAACAAAATGTTCATCATAAGTGCTCTGTTTCAATTGCGATTCGTATTCACTTGCGCAAAGATAATTAATTCCATTATATTAAAAATGCATACATATATACATACGTGTTACGTTCCAGCAGAAAAAGCTTGACGATCAGATTCATATGCGGGATTTATCAATAATACAATTCCTAACAGAATTTCAATATTTTTGGCACCAAAACAGTACCACAATAGTTGTCACATATTGTTGAATAAGAATAATTTTTTAAAACTTTTACCTAATTTTTTGGTTATTTTTGGCCTCGGTCTCGAGACGGCGTTCCACTAATTGGAAAAATATGCAGCGGTTTGTGCTCAGGTAAATATATTTGGTGTTTAAAAGTCCCACCACCTTATGGTGATTAATTTCAGCTGGTTTTGTAGCATACTATTATTATTTCAGTATTCTATTTCTTATGGCGGCTGCATGCAAAAAAAATATGCCAGTTTCTTATTGTTTTATAATTTGAGTTTGTGTGCAAATGTGCAGATGCAAATTTTTGTGCACAAATTTTGCAGGGTAACAGGTGTAAGCTTTAGTAGGAGAAATTTAGTATTATTGCCCTTGACGTGTATCCTACTTTGGATACATGAGCCGATCGATGGCCAGCCAGCAGAGCAAAATCCATCAATCGATCCAAATCATCATATTCCAGGTAAAATCATGCTAGTAATCAATAAGTTATATATGTTAATGGATTGATACTGTATGAATGGTCCGTCTTTAGGTAGCAGTCTATGCTACGACGACCTCAACTTGCCACAGCGCTGCGTTCCTGATTTCATCAATGCTGCATTCAACCTTCAGGTTGAAGTCACGAATACTTGTGGTATGAATGGACCCACAAGGTAGGTCTACTTTATCTTCCACTTGGAAGTTCCCAAATTTCAAGAGTAAAAAACAAATGTACTTCAAACCTCCGTAGTAACTATTTCAGTTTAAGAATCAAATAAATTTAGCCGTGAATGAAATAATGAGAATAAATTCTGCAAAAATTGATAAAATTTTATATGTTAATAAAGTTCCGAAAAATTACAGCCAATTGCAAAAGAATCGGACTTGTCTAATTTACTATAGCAATTAATTTTTAAGAATCACTTAATCCGCCAAATTACTACTCTTTGAATTCAGGTACTGTTTTGTAATCAATCTTCCATTATTGTAGCTACTGTGTACAAACAGGTCATAGTGGTGTGCGCAAAGTATGCGATATTTGCGATAATAACATTGAGGTCAGGTTTTGTGTTTACGCATTGACTCAAAAATATTTGTCAAATTAATTCCAAACTATCCTTCCGTAAATTTCAGAGAAATGCTTATTGTTTTGAGAAAAGAACAAATGGTTTTTTCTCTAAAGTTTTGAATTTTTCATGGTTTTTTCTCTAAATAATTGCATGAAAAATTCAAAATTTGTCGGTTTTATTGTTATAAATATCTTTTTACCTTTTTTCACCATCTAATTAATTACCTGAAACCATATACGTAGCAATTTTATGTTATTGATTTGATCAAATAAGCTAAACTCAAGTAAATAGATTCTAATTTCTCAGGTAATGAGTGAGCAGTCCTATGTATGGAAAATTATTTAACTAAATTTTGCCAGTAAGTTCAGGCTTATGCTCACCCTCCAGCTTATCTAACGGATTTCAATAATGCTAATAACGAAACTTGGTGGCAGTCAGAAACGATGAACGAAGGTGTACAGTTTCCAAATAGTGTCAATTTGACATTGCAACTTGGAAAAACTTTTGACATTACTTACGTTAGATTGAAATTTATCAGTCCAAGACCGGAAAGTTTCGTTATTTTTAAGAAAACTCGTCCTGATGATGACTGGATTCCATGGCAGTATTATAGGTTTGTAATTTTATCCGAAATAAAAAACAGAACATCTGCTGAAATAAAAAGATTGCAAATGGAGTGAAGATGAAAATTATTTATTTTATTATTTCTCGATATTATTGCAGTTAAGAAAGTGGTTTTTTTGTAATGCAATTTTAATTGTTTAGAAGTTTTAATAATGGAATAGGTTTATAATTGAAGTGGGTCATGCCGGTCAACTTATGGGGTACCAGAGAAAGCACCTATTTTGCCCGGGAATGAAGCAGTCGCGCAATGCACTCGAGAATTCTCCGATATTTCCCCTTTAACCGGCGGTAATATAGCATTTTCAACTTTGGAAGGTCGACCAAGTAGTCAGAATTTTGAGGAGAGCGAAACACTTCAGGTTATTTTTGTAAAATTCTGCAAAATAGTTTTTGATCTAGTAGTAATGATTTGCTTAGATTGCTAATCAGATCAGTCTCAATACTTTATCACAACTGATTGACTATTTAAATCATTTCAGTAATTTTTATAGCTTACTTGGCCTGAACTATGTAGTCTTATAATACATATTTTATATATTGCTGATTTAGAATGCATATAGTTTTAGTACACACTAATTACTGTACTGGAAAAAAAATTTCGGTTGACAAAAGTTATGAGATAGTTTTTTTGTAAAGAAGAATATTTTTTGATTAAAAATACTTGTTTAAAAATAGTCTAAACGTTACTTTTGACTACGTCAGGACTGGGTCACGGCATCAGAAATAAGGATTATGCTCACTCGAATGAACACCTTTGGTGAAGAAGTTTTCCGTGACGTAAAAGTTCTACGATCTTACTATTACGCAATATCAGACTTTGCTGTCGGTGGAAGGTAATTTTCAACTAGAAAATAAAGTATCTTGACTACTTTTATGATTTTGCTTAAAGTTAAGTGAGTATGCTTGATAGACAATTTTAATAAAAATCAAAATAAATGCTTGTTTTTTTCACATTGTTCATGGTTTAACACTTCATAACTAAATGCAAATATTATCCCATACTTTATTTTATTTTAAGTGCCATTCAATTTTTTTAAAATTATTTTTCATGTTAGAGCATTTTATTTTTTCATATTATTGATTATTCTTTGCAAATGAGATTTTTCTCGAGATTTGTCATATATTTGCAGATGTAAATGTAATGGTCATGCCAGTGAATGTGTGAAATCCACAGGTGATGGAGAAGATCGCTTAGTTTGTCGCTGTGAGCACAATACGATGGGAGCTGATTGCGATCAGTGCTTACCATTTTACAACGATCGACCTTGGCGAGCTGGCACTGCTAAGGAAGCTAATGAATGTTTTGGTAAGGCCTGAATATGCGTATAACTAGGACTGTAATGGTCAATTTTGGAAGAGAGTTTGGTTAAGATAGAAAATAGTAGCAATAATTATTTATATCAAACTATATATTTAAAAAAAAAAATTTCTAATACAAAAATCAGCAATCATTTTCATGTAAATTTTTAGTTTCAATTGATATTCAACTTGCAATTCTAAAGTATCGTTTTGAGCACCAATTTGCAAGCTGTAATTTGAAATATTCATACATCCATCAATAACTTAGTAATTACTTCTGCATAAAGAGTAACGGCAGAAGAAATAGATAGTTGCACTGCTTACCGTAGGAATATACAAAACTGAATTGAAATACAGAAATAATTTTGCAGCTTGTAATTGTAGCCATTTGTCCAATCGTTGCTACTTTGATCAGGCATTATTTGAACGCACAGGAAGTGGTGGACATTGCATTGATTGTGCTGGCAATACTCAGGTAAATATCGTATTCGAAAAATAATTGGGAGGTAGTTGGATAGCTATGAATTGTAGGAATACTTACGAAAAAGAAGTCAAAACAGAAGAAATTTTAACATATCAGCAAAGCTTCAAGATATCGTCCTGAAAAAGAAAATGATTAGACATTAAAAACCATGAAAAGACAGTTCTAAATTGAAAACTGCGAGCACGAAAATGGCTTCTCTGACTGAATTTCCTGGTTCAAATGGTTGAATCAAGTGAATTGATGCTGGAATAATCATACAAAATAGCTGTGCGTTGCTTGTTGAACATCTGCATGTTTTCAGGGTGCACACTGTGAAGAATGCGCACCTTTTAATTGGCGTCGACCAGGTGACCATTATTGCATTCCATGTCAGTGCAGCGAAATTGGCTCATTAAGTATGCAGTGTGATGACCATGGCCAATGTTCCTGCAAACCCGGAGTTGATGGCCAGTATTGTGACCGCTGCATGACCGGATACTACGAATTTTCAACAAGTGGATGCAAGTACGCCCAATACCATGAATTCGCTGAGAGATTTTTTCTCTTACTGAGAAGTAAAAGTAATAGTAACAAGAAAAGATGATAAAGTGTTGATATCAGTATCGGTAATTGCAAGACGCTTTCAAAAATTATGGAAAAAAACGGTGTTCAAGGACTTTAAAAAAAATATTTTGCTTAATTTTTTCTTTGACATGCCTTTCAAGGTGCCTTTTTTAAAATTAGATTTTATTTAAATAGCGATTATAAAATAAACTGGAATATTAATAAGGGATGATTTGTCATAATGGCAATGATAATTAATAATGATATTGAAATAATAATACTAATAATGATAATAATAATGATAATAATAATAATAATAATACTAATAATAATAATAATAATAAGCAATGATATAATAATAAAGGTAATGAGTAATGACAGTAATCAAATAGATGTAATAATATAATAGAATAGTGATGGAATCTCCCTCTGTTTGTAGAATTAAAGGTTAAAATATTTTTCGGTTTTTCAGACCGGTTTTATTGATACTCTTTTAAATAGTGGATAATAAAAAAATAAACAATGCTGTTAATAAGTGGAATTACATACGTTTTGTGTAATTACAGGAATTGTTTATGTGAGGAAAGTGGCTCGTTGAACAATGAACCGCGTTGTAACTCGGATACTGGTAGCTGTAAATGCAAACTGAACGTAGAGGGCCAACAGTGTAACAAATGCAAGCCTGGATATTTTGACCTATCACTGGACAATCAGTTTGGATGTACGCCATGTTTTTGTTACGGTCACTCATCCATCTGTTCCAGTGCTGATGGCTACTATGTTATGAATATTAGCAGCACATTTATTGATGGTTAGTTCACATTTTCGAAGGAATCTTGAGCTCTATTTGTTGGTTTTTTAAAATGCGTTCTTGTGAATGCAGTTTAAAAAAATAGCGAGTAGAAAGTTGGTGCAGTTTGAATTTTGTAAAGAAAAAATTTTAATGCAAATTTATTGAGACTGCGGCTGATGACTTGATTAAAACGCTATAAACTTAAGGAAAAGAACGTTGGGCCGCAGAAAGTTTGCGTGGACCACAAGATATTCAATGGGCTGAGATGGATAAAGCTGTCGCTATTTCTGATACCGATGGAACCGCTGTGTATTTTGTTGCACCTCCTCAATATACTGGTGACCAACGTGCTGTTTATAACCAAGACTTGTGGTTTACTTTGCGAGTGCAAAAGGCACAAGTACATCCAAGCGCAAGGTTGTTCGATTTACCTGCTAAAATAATTCATTTAGTATCTTTTAAAATTACTTTTACAAATTAATTACGAAAAACAGTGAATGAAATATTTTAGCAAAATCGCAAAATGAGTCTGTGAAAGGAATTAAGGGTCAAAATATTTTTCGGTTTCTCAGACCGTTTTTATCAATACTTTTTTGAATAGTGGATAGTGAAAAAATAAAAATAAACAACGCTATTGATAAAAGTTATCAGTCAATATTACATAGTTCTATATAGGTATTTATAATCATTTAATATTAAAACTTTCTTTTTTATCAGCAGCATTGTTTATTTTTTTAATATTTGATCTATCAAAATTACTGCAAAAAATATCTGTATAAGATGTTTACTAACTTATCGTCACCAAAATATTACCTGAAAGAATAATGAATGATTTTTTACAAATGACAGTGATTTGTTGTAGAGATATTATAATTGTTGGTCAAGAAGGTCAAGAGTTAACGATACCAATATTCGCACAAGAGAATCCAATGCCAGACGTAAATGAACAAATGTATCGTTTTCGGATCCACGCAAATCCCATATTTCAGTGGAGTCCACGTTTGAACGAACTAGATTTTATTGGAATATTGTCGAATGTTAGCGCCCTTAAAATTCGTGGGACTTATTCTGCCCAAGGCAAAATTTTTTTGATTCTTACAGCTTATTTTGTTCACTAATAATACAATTATAAGTCTCTACTTATAGACAAACTCAAGTTGGAAAGAATTCACAAAATATTACTGGAATGAACAAATTTAATTTCATTTAGCGGTATTTTTTGATCTGAATTAAATTAGCATTCTTATTCACTAATTTTGTTGAAATAATCATTATGAGTTCATAAATTCATCGATTGTAGTTTACAGCAATTTGTAATATATCGAATTTGTATAATTTTAGATCTTGGTTTCTTGAGTAATGTAAATTTGGGCTCAGCAAGCTTGACTCCATCAGGCGAGCAGCCGAAGGAAGCACATTGGATAGAATCTTGCAGTTGCTTAGAAGGTTTTGTTGGACAGTTTTGTGAATCATGCGCTCCAGGATATCGCCGTGAAATCAAATTCGGAGGACCATTCGATCGTTGCGTAAAGTGTGAGTGCCATGGACACTCCACCTCGTGTGCATCAGAATCAGGTATATTACGCATGTTGATCCAATGATGTCCTGATAATTGAAAAGTTTTCTGAAGACTAAAATTTCTCAAAAATCAAAGTTTAAAATTTTGGATTAAATTTCACTTGGCACAAGAAAAGCTACAAATTTTGTAATTAATATAGGGGAATGCATATGTGAGCATAATACGGCTGGTGACACATGCGAGCGTTGTGCACGTGGATATTACGGTAATGCGTTGCAAGGAACAGTGGATGATTGCACAAAGTGCCCATGTCCTGAGAATGGACCTTGTGTTTTGCACACTGATGGCGATATCATATGTACTGATTGTCCGATTGGATATACGGGTCGCAGGTACCTTACTGTAAAATTGATGCAGGAGCAATAATTATTTCAGTGCTAATAGAATTGTCATGCTTAAATGCATTCTCTTCAGTTTTTGTTACTAAGATATTATGGTTCCTTAAACAAATATCTCACACTGTTTTTAGCAACTCACTTCTGAGCAACATATCAGCACAAATGACTGTTCTCATTAGAACTTGCTAATTCCATACTTGCTTGTTAGCTCATCCAAAAATGGTATTCCTCGTTGACAGTCAGCTGTTTATAATAAGTGCCGGCAATAATTTTAGTGCTCATAAAATGCAGTGAGGAAAATATTCTTTTCTAACTTGAAAAATTGTACTCCAAATAAATAATATTTAATACAGTTAAATGCAATAAATTTCAGACAGTAAATACAATTTTTGTGTAAAGAGGAAATTTAAGAAGTAGAAACAAATTTCCAGAAACTGAAAACAGCTGCAATTGTACTTGAAGTAAAAATTGATTCTATCAAGTGATTGCTTGATCAGTGTACACAAGCTTGCAGTTTATTAATGCTGTTTTCAAACTCTGTATAAGTAATTTCAGGTGTGATGGTTGCGCAGATGGTTTCTTTGGTGCTCCAAACAAAGATAAACCATGTTTAGAATGCACATGTAGTGGTAACATCGATCCAAATAGTATCGGAAATTGCGATTCGTTTACTGGCGAGTGTAAGAAGTGCATTTACAATACAGTTGGCTTCTACTGTGAGGAATGCAAGCCTGGTTATTGGGGTAACGCTCTGTTAGTACCGAAAGGCGACTGCAAAGCCTGCAAGTATGAACTTTAAATATTCAGATTAAAAAACAGCACCATTCTGAACTTTTGTTCTGGTCAGTTTTTATAATATATGCAATTATTGTTTTGCTTCGTTACTCAGAGTGAAGTGGTGCAAAAGGACCGTTAAAAGATTAAGTTATGTGAAACTGTTTCGATGATAGCATCAAAACTTTTCATAAATGTTATGCATAATGACAAATCATTACAGCTGTTTTGCGCCAGGTACTAAACGTCCAGACGTTGATTACGTGATGTTAGAGTGTCGTCAAAGCGATGGACAATGTGACTGTCAAGATCACGTAATTGGTGCCCAATGTGATCAGTGTGAGGTAATACTTTTAATCTTTAATCTTTAAGCTGCCGTCATTAACTTTTCATTTTTATTCAATTACTTATTTTTAGCTGCTCACTACTGCTTTTTTCCATATGTGAAGAAAGCGTTACTACTTGTTACGTCCTAATCAATACTTGCTTACTTTCGAGAGTTTGGGTCTAGTCTAAACATTCTTTACCCCTGTCTGCCAAAAAAAGAGGAACTCAAGAATGAGGAAGTGATTAGTTCTAGAGAAGTTGTGTATTCACTAGTGCTGCCTACAGACTCAGCTACTTCCTCGTTCAACTTGTGTCTGTTACTTATATCTAATAAAAAGAGCGAGTAGACGAATTTAGTTTCCTCAGCCTTAGTCTTATCAAGTTTCACGAATCGCAGAAACTTTTTATTCTTCACATCTTTATTACATGGCTAACTTTTAAATTAATATTGTGAGCAAAACTCTCAGTTTACTAAAATCAGAAATCAAAATTATGTCTGCCATTTCGAAAAGGACATTCTGTACACTCTGTTGTAGTACACTTAAAAAAATAATAAATATTACACTTTTACTTGTATTTTTTACGTATGAAAGTGGGCGTTGGCATGAAATTATGTGTTTCATTTAATTAAAATTTTTAGTTAAATAAATTTAGAACGAAAAGTCAGAGGATATTTTGAAAGGAATGGGTTGGGGAAGAAAGTCCTAAACAAAGTGTACTATTATAATTTCTGCCCTTGACAACTTCCGGGATTCTCTCACTGAAATTAATATAACGACAGAAGTGTAGAACTTTTCTTCCTTGTGATTAACATGAGAATCTGTACGTTCTTGCTTAGTTCTTCTATGATTACCTTCTCTCCCTGTCCACGTTTTTTTGGCTGGACATGTACTCGTGTGTTCAGCGAGAATCATTTATGTTTCATAGCCATCTCCGCCTCCTAAAAACTCCATAAAAACATTCATTCTGCGCCTTGCTTCCATTCTTGTTAAATTTTCCTTCCTTCAATTCTTTTATCATCCAGTGTTTGCTTTGTGTGCTTGAAAAATTTTCTTCATTTATCATCTCAATAACTTTTGTCTGCTCAACGCAAAAATCCTTCAGTACTATACTATTAATAGTAAAGAAAGAATAAAGTGTTAATTATACGATTAAAATGAAAATTTTAAATATTTTTTTTTCAATGAGTCCTTAGTAATTTTTGATACAAAGTCATGACGTAAGAATTGTGACAAATTATTTTTAATTTTTCATTTGCGTCTAGCTTACGTAAAGTAAAGCAACCCGTGTATTTACTACACATATCTCTTTTGAAACTTGTCCACTAACACAAAGTCGTATACACAAATAAATACATATTTACATCACATATAGATAGATACAAAATATTTTTTCTACTTCTGTGGTCACAAGATGTTGTGACCAGTCAAAATATCTAAGTAATAGTGTCTACAACGATAATGCAATAAATGTTGGTCAAATTTTGCAAAGAGCTTATCGCAGAAGTGACTTTATCAAAGCAAAATCTTTTTGGTTGTAAATTTTTGTCATTTCAACATTTTGAACTGAAAAGTTATAATTATTCATTACTAATGTAATGAGAAGTTGTGCGTGCAGACGACAATTGTAAGCATAAAAAGGAGAGCAAACATTTGTAGACGCGTTTGGATGCGAATACTCACGCATTCTGCTTTATTCTTCAGAAACTGAATTGAATTAAAATTGAACGTTTACTGATCTGTGCGAGCATACGTCTCGAAAAGAATGAATGAATTATTTGTGTGCCTTTTCACTTTTTACTAATCAAAAATTGTAGTGAATTTTTTTGCGTGTCTATGCGTGATGTGTTTGTGTGTGTGCCTGAGTGGAGTGTGTCTCTCTCTCACTGTTCACATGTGTGTATGCACACAACAAGGGACACAGCATTTATCTGCACTTTCGTAAAGTTCAATTTTACTACGGGCCTATTTTTTGTCTTGCAAATGTCTGCTCATTACAACCCATAGAATTGGAAATTCTTCATGCGTACACAGACGTACAGACACGAGAGCACACACACACACACACACACACATACACACACATACACACATGTAGTTAATGCTATCAAAGTAGACAGCGTAGTAGACATAGTGAATTTTTTTTGAAATGAATGTGTTTGTACTCTCTGTTTGCTTACGCTTGAATAAAATTTGCACAATTGCAGAATAAATACACTTGCCGCTGGATACATCTGTTTTGTTTACGTATGTCTACACACAGCATTTTTGCGCTAGCATACATGAACGTGCTTGATCATTTCATTACACATACAAAGTTTAATAAAAAATTAGAGCTGGGCAAATAATCATAATTCATTCAGTCGTTAACTTTGAAATGCAAATAAATGTGCTTATTTTAATCACGAAGTTACCTCGAACATGTATAAGAATAATAACCTTTTTTGGACGGTACTGCTAGTGTTGACCTGACTGCAAACACAGTACAGAACTCTATGCTGCTTGATGACCTGAAAACTCTTAATTCTTGTCTATACAAAGCATGCTGGCCAAAACTCAGCTTTCTTCAGGCTCGCTTAATTCGTTTAATCGAAAATGAGAACTTTAATTCTCAAGTATTTTACAGAAAGCTAGATAAAAATCTCAGAATGTTTCTTCATAAGACCAGTCGCATTGGAGAATTCTCATGTTAATTACGACATAATTTGAATAAATTTTCAGCCGGGGTATTTCAACTTAACTTCGGGAAGTGGCTGTCAGCAATGTGACTGCGACGTTCTCGGCAGCATCAACAGCACGTGTGATGTGCTTGATGGTCAGTGCTCATGCAAGCCAGGGGTTAAAGGTCGAAGGCCAGTTCATTTATTTATTGTTTTAATTTTGATCTTTGATCTTGGAAATTTTAAAGTCCTCAGTATTTCAGTCTCCATAATTTTTCTGCATCACTGAACTTTTTGGGCGTTCAGAAGCTTTACACACCAAAAAAGAAAAATTTCTTGCTAATCTTAGAGCAGACTTTTTTTTGGCAATTCAAAGACTTGTTAAAAATTGAAACATACTCTAAAATTATGTCACTCTTAGAGTAAAAGTAGTAACAATATTGGAAAAAAGCCAAGAAATAATAGTCACAGTAATATAAAAGATTCTGCCAAGTTTACTATTGCTAAGAATCTGTTATTATCATTTATATGCATACATATATAAAGGAATTATATAAGAAAATGTTTATTATTAAAACAAAAATGACAAATTTCGAATTATTTGTTACTTACATTTTTTATTACTATCATTTACTTGTAGCACATTATTTATTTATGTATTTATTTATTTATTATCTATTTTATATTTAGATTGTTTGTTTTTCACTAACACAATTATATTTGTTTGTTATAGAATACTAAAGAAATGCAATTTTGTTTACATACTAAATGCAAGTTGTGAACTTTGTCAGTTTCAAAGAAATAAGCCAACTTCATTTCATACATTTAACTCTCTTCAGAGTCAAATTGAAATTGCAATGTCATTTCCTCATTTCCCTTGTTTGGAAGCAAAGTTTTTGGACTGTTCTCAGTACTTCTGCAAGTCACTTATTGCAACGTAAAAAAATGCATAGCACATTCATTCCACAATTAATGAGTATTGCTATAATACTGCAAAAAATGTGTAGACTTGTTACTGGAAAATACAATAAATAATAAATAAAATAATAAATAAATAGTAATATTAAAAATAAATGCTGCATTTATAATATGTATGAAAATATATACGATTCGTTCATTACTGAGCGATGATCAGCAATCCGTAAATACCTTTTGCATTACTGCGACTATTTTTCTTTCACTTATTCAAAAGTTTGATTCTCGTCACAAATTTTTGTTCAAATGAATGGATATTGCAAGCATAACTCAATGGATATGATGTTTTGTTGGTACAAATAAAAGAGATTATTCGCTCATTACTTAACTGCTTAGTCAATAAGTCTTCATCTTTGACTCGCAGCTGAAGAACACTGCAAATGAATGAATTCTAGTGCAGTATAATAGTACTTTTCAGCTGATGAAAGATGCGATTGTATTTTAGGTGCGATCAGTGTGAAGCTGAACATTACGGGTTTGGAATGAACGGCTGCCACCCGTGTGACTGCGATGTGATCGGTTCGGAATCCTCACAATGTGATGTCATCAGTGGTATGCATTCGTTTATTAGATATTACACTGCTGTTTGAGCAAAATTTTGATTCTTCTGCAGAATTTCGCATTCATTTTGTTGTGTTCAGCTATTAAAATCAGAAACATTCACTGTCTGGACAAAAAAAGCCCCATTTTTTAACTTGAAAGTAATGAAATGCTTAATTATTTGTTTGCTATTCCGCAGAAATAATTCAAATTTAATTGGAAATATAACTTTAAAATGGTTATTCATAATTCAATGCAATTTTGAAATGATATTTTTGGACTAAGCTGGAAATAAGTGCGAAATGCTCATTTTTCAATAACAATTTCTTGGAAAGTGAACATTTAGCCTTTTCAGAATTTTATCTGCAAATTAAACGCTTGCCACTCATATAATATTATGCAAAATGAGTATTATATCTAAAAATTATGATCATCAATTCTATCTGCTGGAGATTTGCTGATAAAATTGTAAAAATCAAATAGGCATATCAAAAAGTTTAGTCAAATAAGATTGCGCGGAAATGTAGTAAGCATTGAGAATATAAGAAATTAACTGTGAGTAATTTATAATGAAATTATAACTAGGAAAAAACGAATGTATTGTTAAGAATATTTTAAAAAAGCAATATTCTCAGTTAGTGATATTAAAGTAGAAACTGAGTAGTAATTATTATATTAACAGCTAGTAATCTTTCAGGGCAGTGTTTGTGCCGTGATCATATCGAAGGACGACGATGTGATCATTGCATCGAGAATCGTTATAATCTACAGGCTGGCTGTTTACCTTGCGATGATTGCTATTCTTTGATACAGCGACGCGTTCACGATTTTCGCAAAGATGTCACTGTTCTTGAAGAGACGCTTAAAGAAATTATTGAGAATCCTGCACCGGTATGTTATTCCAATTTTGCAATGTTTGAAAAATTTTTTAGTGAAAAGTTCGTGAAAAAGCCAAAAATGCTTATATATCAGATTTATTCACGAAGAGTTTTGTCTTTAATTCGACAGATCATTGAGGTGCTGTGATTTGCATTACCATCACAAAAAATGACAAAAAAAACCTCATTATTTATTTTTGGTACCAGTAATTCTGGTTGAAGTTAGCAACAATTATTTTGTCGGAAGAAATTTCAATTTTTTGTTTTTGGTAAATGAAAATTGTTCTCAGCATTTAAACTTAATTTTTTTCAAGGTTGATGACAAAGAATTTGACAACTATGTAAATTCTGTCAGCGCAGAAGTGGAAAATTTAACGGCGATTGTTAACAACAAATTAGGTGAAATAATTATCAATTTCTTATTACAGGTAAACTTAACTGAAAAAGAGAACACAGCTTAGCTGGAATGTGTTAGAACAGTCTCAGTTGTTCTGCACGGTTCAGGAAAAAGTCTGAAAAAGTCTGATTCCCTATTTTTTGCATCGTTCTCCTAAAATATAGAGTGGTTCTAAAGCATCTTTAATTTCATTATCAATGATTCTAATGATATCTAATGGTGAACTTGAGAATAGATTCATTTCGGAAAAAAATATTTATTACTCATAGATCGTTATGATTTTCTTTTCAAGATTAGAAAATTGTTCTAGCTGGAGATGACTCGCAACTAATTACACAAGTGAATAAACTCAAGAAGGATTTGAAAGATGCCGTAAAATTATTGGATTCAGTAGATGACACTATTAAAAGAGCTGATGGAAAAGCTTCAAAAGTAGCGGAGACCTTGCAGCGTTGGAAGGTGATAAAAGGTACGAATAGATAGATTACAAATCTTGAGGATATGTTAGTAGTTGTATTAAATAAACGGAGTACGATAAAGGTTATATACTTTATTCAAAAAATGTACCAGTAATTCAGAAAAAGAATTATTGACATAATAACTGAATTGTTGAAGTGAAATGAATCACTTGTTGAGATTATTTCTAGCTGTTACTGCACATTGCTAAAAATTAGTCATTGAATTGTTTTTGATCAGCATTTAAAGCCCAAATGACACGTCAAATCACACAAGATTTTGCTTCGTTCTACTGCTCTGAACTGAGAACTAGCGAATATATTTATAAAAAGAAAGAGGGATTTTCTCGTTAATTTGTTACACTGATTAGAAAATTATATTTTGCTATATTTTCAGATGGAGCAAGGAATGATTTGGAGAATGCACTGTATTACTTGGAAACAGAAGGACAAACACAGTGGGAATTAGCTCAAGAAGCGTCTCGAAAGTACGGTGAACAAAGTCAGCAGGTATGCAAGAAATGCGCTTTGCTGCAAAGTTGCACTCATTTAGTTCCTCATTCAAATTAGGAATAAGAGCAGACAAAATTATGGTATGGGAAAGATATATATTTTACAAAATTTGAAATTTGATCCAAGTATTGTTAATTTGTCATTTCATATTAGCGACAGGAATTTCATTGTTTATCTTGTGGCCAAGATTTTACAGTATTATTACTATAAGGAAGTTTTCGCAAAAATTAATAACTTTTAAGTTGTCGGAAATTGCCCAAGAAGCTTTGAAATTGGCTGAGCAACAAGAAAATCGTAGTGCTGAGATCGAAGCATTAGCAGAAAAGATTGCGAATAATTCGAAGCAAGCACTGGTTGAAGCTAAAGAAGCCATTTTCGGAGGTGAGATTGAAGCACTTAACTGACAGATCGAAATTTTTTCTTGTGAACAGAAAAAACATTAGCTAAATATTTTATCATTTCAAGATTAGAAGATTTAGGTGAAGCTATCAGCAAAGAAATTGCAATCATGATGAAGCGCTTGAATGCAACCGAGAAACTACTAAATCAAACTTATAAACTTGCCGAAGAGCAACTTGCGGAAGCTGATCGGGCATATAAAGCTGCAGCAGAAGGCTTAACCACTGTGGAAGGCTTGCGCTTACCGAATATTAATCCACAACAAGTAATTCTTCTCGTAGATCATATATATATACCAATAAACTGATCAGATAATACAGATCAAATCTGAGATAAGAATTTAAGATTGACAAATTGTTCTATCGGATCTTCAAAAGTTGATGTAAAAGAATTGAAGTTCAGGAAATAATGAGTTGTATAAGGCCTAAATAATTAAATGTACAGATTTTAGCTAAAAAGTCTTGAAATTAGATTGAACAAGAAGCGAAGCGAGTTGCGGAAGATGCTCAAGCCACAGCTCAAAACGCAAAAGAACAAGCAGCTGCAAACAAAGAACTGATAGAGAATGCAACGCGTATTCTTGCTGATGCGAAATATGAATTACAGCGTTTTCAAGATCAGCAAAAAGTTGGCTTATAAATTGTTGGAATATTACAGGAAAAAGTGAAAATTTGAATGTCAACAAAATCTAGAAAAGAAAGTCACTTGCTTAGCAGAGGGAATTATTTTAGTTTTACGTTATCCTTCCGACTTTTTGACTATTTCAGGTTTCGGATGAGCTATTAGCAGACGTAGATGCAGCAAGAGTTCGCATCATGGATGCTGTTGCACTAGCTGAAAGTACTTTAGAAGAAGCTCAGCACACTTTAGAAACACTCAACGGTATTTTGCTTTCATTTGATTCTTATTGAGAACAGTGAATATTAATATGAATTTGCAGACTTTCAAGAACGAGTCGATGCTAGCAAATCAGAAGCAATTGAAGAATTGAGCAAGTTGAAAGATATTGAGAATGAAATAGCTCTAGCTGAAGACACAACTCGAGAGGCGGAAAATGCCATCGGCAATGCGAAAAATGACGCGCAAATAGCAGAAGAAATCGCTTTGCAGGCGGAAAAGGAAGCGAAAACTATCAGCAAAGTTTGTTTTTCCAAGCTATCATTCGTATTTCCAATAACGTGTTATCAGTGAATTACATCATTAATCAGTTCAGATCATTTGATCACTTTATAACTTGAGATAAGCACAGACATTCAGTCTACTTAGTTCTAACTGGTTATGTTACTACTTATGTTTCTGCTAATAATTGTACGCTTCAAATTGCATTACGGTGAGATTAAATAGTGCATACTATTTTATCATTTTTAGAAAGCGTCTGAATTACAAAATCAAACACAAAATTCACGTGAAATTGCAAACGATTTGAAATTAAATGCTGATCAACTGCTCAACGATGTACGAGAAACGAGTACAACTATGGAAGATTACCGTCGACAAGCTAGCACAGATAAATCTCGCGCATCTGAGGTATCTTCCCACTTCAACAATATTTTTTACAATACAGGCGATTTTTTCTCAATTTCTATTGATTAGGACGATTTATTGATAATGTCTTTCATTTCTTGTGATGAATATTTTTAAGGCTGTCCAAAAAGCGCAATTGGCCGAAAATGCCGCTGAAAATGCAAACAAAACTATTGGTGATGCTCAGAATAAACTTAAAAACATTATTGACCAACTGAGTGAGTCTTTTATGCTACACATAAAAATGCACAGAAAAGTAAAATTTTTGTAATTTTCTTAAGCTTTTCTCTAATGCTTTGATTTATTGTTTGGCTACTTTTCACGAAAAGTTTTCGACTTGCAAAATAATAAGTTTAACAAATACAAGAAGGTAGCAAAGTAGCATGATGACAGGTTTATCGAAGTAGATACTACAAAGATGGTGCTTGTTTTGTTGCTTGTGATAAATATAGCAGTAGATGTAGCACAGGTTGATCGTCGCTTCAGTTTGCCTGGAATTACTGGAAATTTTACTAAAAGTATTTCTTTCTTGCAGAATCACTAGATAATGTAAATAGTGACGAACTGAATGAATTAGAGAAGCAGCTGGATGAGGCCGAAAAACTGTTAGATGATGCTGATTTGGACAAACAGGTCTGCCTTTCTTCTGCTTCATTCTTTCTTTCAAGGAAAGAAAATTCGAGTGACTCAAACTTAATAGCTTTCAGATTCGTTCTTATTTTTTGTTGATACTTTTTTGATTGAAAAATTACTATCATTTGTTGTTATTTATTTATTATGCAATATACAACATTACAATTTTGGGGTGATGATTATCACAGAAAGCTTCAGCAAATCCTTTCAAGAGATAATACTTTAAGGAAAGGTTTGCAAATAGAAGTCCACAAATTATTCTATTTTTAAATGATAATTCTAAATCAATTAGGTATGTTTCGATAGATATGCATACTCGTGAAATTGGTAAAAGTAACTGTGATGAACACTTATTTCAGGTATCGTTGCTCAAAGAACAAAAAATCGAACAAGATCGCACCATCACGCAATTCAAGAATGAAATTGATACTTTAAAAGATGAAGTCGAAAATCTTGAAGAGATTCGTGATTCACTGCCAAACAGGTGCTTCAATGTGATTAATTTGGAACAAGAAGGACACAAATAATTCAAACTTCCATATGATCGAACTGCGAATTAATTTTACAAATTCAGAGTGCAAGATATAAATAAAAGTTATAGGTATTGAAATTATCATTCATAAGCTGGTATCTTGGAGAGTAAAAAAACTCTTGATGCAATTAATCTCATCTTTTTCATTTTTTATCAAATTATGTTCTCCTTCTGAAGTCAAGACTGGATTCTATGCAAATAGATCAATGATTAATTTATTGATCTAACACTTTTTACAGCTATAACTTTTATTTTCATCTGCCAAGTGGAACAAAAACAAAACTTTACCAAAAACCTTTAACTCTAACCAAAAACTGTTTCTTTTCATTTGCGTTTTTGCGCGTGTCACTCGTTGCTGTTTTGTTATCTTACTTGAACATGTTTTTTCTTCATGTGCTAACATGTGTAGTTTCGAGCAATCAGAGTGATCAGCATAGCACTTGACTGTGATAAACGTACTGATCTACTGATTGCTAGCAGTTAACCAAAACATTTGCACATTAGCTGTCATTACTTTTGCTCTCTTGAGAGAGTTTATTTTGCGTAAACTAAACTGACTCACTCAAAGTTACGTATTGCAAAACTGATCACGGCGGAAATTGCTCGTATTTCTTCACGTTTTAATCACTGCCTTAGTTCGTGTTCCAATTTTTTAGTTTTTCAAATGTGTCTTTTTACAATGCTATCAATGATTTTCATGCTGTTATCATTTATTTAATCAATTCGCAACTTTTTAGGCGCAAAAGTTAGCTAATGTATATTTTGACTGTTTGAACTGAGCTCCCATTCAAGAATTGGCATTCCTTTTCAGCTTTTCATGCTATATTCTTTATCAGTTTTAAAAATTTCAACCTAAATTGAATTAATTATCCAATTTCCAATTTTTGTCAGCAAGCCATATCAATTATTTATCGGTTTATTTCCATTATTAAAAGTGTACTATCATGTTGATTAATCCATTGATTGATTGAAGAGTTATTTATCTGATTCCAGCTCTGTCAACTGCCCCACGTGTACAAAATGAATTCTCCTTGTTTTGTATTTCTTCAGCTTCATCACTTAATAATTTCACGCTAATCTACAAATTTAGAAGCATTTTTGCCCTCTATTATGGCTACTATTATTACTACTGTTGTTACTACCATTACTACTCTCGTTCGCTTATGCATTCTTTTCTCCTTATTGTATTTACTGATGTTAGTGCTATTACACTCGGTTCTTTTCCATGTCAATTCTAAACCTCGATTCTCCTATACTTTGAGAGTTATTCTTCGCAGTGTGGAATACCATCCATCCATTATAATGCTCCAAACTTGTACTACATACCGCACAGATGTATCCCGTTTGTTCTTTGTGTGGGTTAACTTAATTCTTATGGATTTGTTCTATGATCTTAGCGTTAAAAGATTACTAATATGTCATTGCTGTGATCATAATTATCCTTCACATTGTTGTGCTCACATACCGCAATCACTTTTTGTATCTTACGCCAAAAAAAGTTGTTAAGTTATGGCACAACTCATTTCTGGCTTCTACCTTTTCATACAGGTAGAAGCCAAGAAATGGACTTGTACCTGTGAGGATAGATAGAGGCCAAGAAATTTCTATTACTAAGGTAACAAAATTGTAATCCGATAGCTCCTGCTATGCTTTTAAATAAGAAAAATCCAATTAAACTATCAGATGTCTTTGTTTTTAATTACACAAACTCGAATGTTTTCTTCCGTTTATTGTTTGACAAATATAACGCCAATGAACTGTTGCTTTATTTCTCCATTAAATATATTATATTAATATTGCTTTATTTTCAATGTGTGCAAGAACATGTTTTTCAATATTCACCCTTGACGTCAGATTTCTACCATTGCAACTACCATTTTTTAGAAATTCTAACAGATGAACTTTACAGGCACTCTTACAAGTGAAATCTAATTAAAAGCAAGACACAAATTTTAGTTCCATCTCCAGTTACGATGGTAATTGCTTAATTTTGATCATACGTGACTGGTAGATGAGTTTGTTTCATCAAAAGATTTGTTGCTTTTCTTAGCGAACTTTAATTTCTTAATTGAACAAAAAAGTTGTATTAAAAAATCTGACAACTGAAATATACACATATATGTACTGACTGATCATATGCTAGCCATATGTACATCAAAACACATCTTAATACTTAAATAAGAAAATTGCTGAGCGAAAGTACTTGCTAAAACACAATGTTTCTTACCCGCATTCAGATACCCAAATGTTTAATTGAAAGAATGCACCATATATGCTCTTAATTATTCAATAAGCGTATCTACAAAACTATCCAGCTCTTCATCACTTTTCGCTCCTTCAATACGTCCAACAACTTCACCCGCTTTAAATGCAAGTATAGTGGGTACTACATTCACTTCGTAATCAATAGCCAAATCTGTTGCATAGTCAACATTAACTTTTGCTAATTTAACCTAAAATACATCAAGTCAACCAAAAGACACAATCATAATCTGACTGAAAGAATTTTAAACATTTTTGCTTTACATATATATAGCTAGGATAACAGTAGATTTTTATTTTTTCATAAATTTCTGGATATAAGTCACTTGAAAAAAAACCTAGTGTTAGAATAATACTATATGAAGTACTTGAAGATTAATAGCAACTCTTTTTATGAAACATTTTACCACAAGAAGTGCTAAAATTATTACATAAAAGTTAGTTATTTCTATGCACTATAGTGATCTACTATATATTTTACTCAAATAATTGTCAGTTCTTTCGTTATTATAAAACTAACATTTCCTTTTCGACCAATAATTATAGCTTCAATACGTGGTCCTAACATCTTGCACGGCCCACACCAATCAGCATGAAAATCTACGATTACTGGTACAGAAGAGTTAATGACCTATAACTACAATATAATACAGTTTTCTTTTAACTTCAAAACACATCTTCTGAATCCCAGTTAACAAGAGTGTTGATCAAGATTAGAAGCAACAAGAAAAACAAAATTATCCCGTCTCGTTTTCAGGAGAGTAAAAAACAGATTCTAAAATTAAATTCTCATCTACACATTTGATATGGTAAAATTAAGTGTGCAACAACTAAAATTTTCAGAAGAAATGTGTCAAAATACAAACCTTTTCAGAAAAATCATCTTCATCTTGTACTTCGAAAACTATGGCCTTCGATTCCTCAGTGCAGAACATCCTGCGAAACTCTCGGTTTTTTGGTTGCAGAAGATAGTTCTGGAAATTATGATAACCGTCAGAGCTAACTGTCTTTCACATTAAAATAAAGATCTTAACCCTCCTGCGCTAAATTCTAAAGTTATCACGTTATCTTAGAGTTCAAATAAAGTATGTATAACATGTAAAAATGCAATACAGAGAAGAAAATGTCATAAGAAATACTAAGTATCAACTTTGCAAGATGTTAGAAAGTTTTATCAAAAATGATGAAAATTAACGTACATCTGAGCTTGGCAGTTTTTGCAGAGATGTTTTTACCAGTGGTATGAGAAAGGAATAATAACACTGAGTATTCGATGCAGCTTCATACTGATTAGAAAATAACGTACACATGCGGTTGAACTGCAGTATACGTGAACCTTTCAACATTCTGTAAGACCTAGAATAATTAACAGACTATTAGAGGAATAAAGCAAGTATACACAGTTAAATAGACCAAAACATTGTGCAGACGGAACATGAAATGACTAATTTGGTCAAAAATTTAGATTTGCCTGTAAAAATAATACGAATGTTAAACCTTATAAATGAGCAATAATAGCAAAAAAAAAAGTAATAAGCAAGGTATTAATAAAGTTATTATTAAACTTGAAGAAATATTACAAGTAAAAAGCAACAAACAATCCAGAAACTCATACTGATTTGTAGATGTTGCTAATTCGCAGTTTCTGAATTGCTCGCTGATTCTTATTAAAAAGTGAGAATAGTTAATTAGCTTTGATTACACATTCACATCAAACTGGAAATTGATGAAACTGAGTGGCGAAGACAAACTTAATTCTCGTAATTATTAGTAGCGTAAGACGAAAAATTAGTATTTTCTGTTGACGCTTTTTGCAATAACACTGCTTACAATCTAAACACAGTACACAAAGCTACGATGAATTAATTCTACTACATGATGCCAATAATTAATAACTCCTTTTACGTGACCAATGACCAGTGAACAAAAAAATAAGCAATCAATGCGCAGAATAACCTTTAACATTGAATTTGCATACAAAACAGTGATTGTCACTTGAAATCATACTTTTATAATAATCGTCCAACCGTAAGATACCATGGCACTACGTTGCATACTGTCCCTTCCACAATTATGCGATGTGATTGCAGAAGAATCTTGCAAAATGTGTAGATGAGGATGTGGTACGGTGCAGTGTTTTTACAGGATTGAAATTACTGTGCTGAGATATATTTGAATTCAAAGGACTACTTTACTGTACTTTCCGCACCCTTCTTCACTTCAGGAAGTTCTCTTCAGCTTTTTCATACTTCGAAATATTGTTAAGTGTTGTATTTCTTTCAAAAACTCATTCTGCTTCCAAACGTAACGTTTCATCAATTGCACCTTTGCACTGTATTTTGCGTGCTTCTCTGTGCATAGTAATGTAAACTGGTGAGAGCAGTGGAATACCACTTTTACTATTTCTAAATTTGCATCACATTTAAAGTATATTGCAGTTCAGCTGTTAGCAATAAATTATTGTGTAATATACAGAAGTATTTTCATCTTTTAATTATTAGCACTGAATCATACTTAAGTGTAGACTCATTAGCCAAATATTATGTTTCATGGTGACCTTCAGTTCGCTGTAAAAAAATATAACTTTTTATTTTCTCCAACACGAAAATCAGTAGAAAGTTTTCACGTTAAAACTGCCGGTAAGTTCAGAAGTAACACGTCTAATAAGAAACAACAAGATGTAAAATAAACTTTAAGTTTTTCTTCTTTCAACCTTTGCCGTACTAATACGTCTTTTTGGATATTTCGCTGTACGTTTTCTTTCAAATTCATTACTCCGCTTGCTTGCTTTACCTCCATCACCATAATTATTACACTCATTGTTCATATTTTCGTTATCACTGCTATCACTGTTACTTCTCTTAATTGTCTCGTCGATTTCAGTCCTATCAATACATATTTGCTCATCTGATTGTTTCCTGATTTTAAAGATTGTCTCTTCCGTTCCCTCACAATATCTTCGCCATCTAAACGCACAGACACTAATTTAAATATTTTTCATCCAATTACACAAGAATTTGTTCTATCTACCAATTTACAAAAGGCATTTGAAAATGGTGACGAAGGCATCTACAGAAGCCATTATTTGCAAACCCGCTATTTAGCGCGACTTCCGCTAAACACAAACTGCAATCTGATTACTTAATTTCTTAAATTATATCTATTTCGAGGTTGAAACTGATGGGAATACTTCTAGTACATGAAGTAAACGCAAGTTTTTTTCCTCAGTTGAAAAGTGTGGTCTTTAAGATAGTCTTTTAACTTACTTTGCAAATCTTCCAAATGCATGTCGGAATTGCTGGACATTGGGACTCTGCACATTCAACAAGTTGCAAAAGTATTTGAAAACCTTGTCCATTTTGAATACATAACTGTAAAATTACTATGTCTATATAAAAGTAGCTTGTGAAAGTTAAAAGATAAATACTTTACTTTTTTCCATTTCATTTTAAAATTATGTTTTGTTGTTCAGAAGGATAGATAGTGTTTTTGTGTGGATTTTAATGACCTTAGCTGCCATTGTATTTTGCTCTGGTCACTGCTTTCTTTGATACAAAAATTAAGAATTAACAGCTGCGAATTATCTATTACTAATCGCTTTGTTCTAAAATGTACAATTTTCTGGACTGATTTTCGTGTCTGCAGTTGATTAATAGAAAATAATGAAGTAAAAGTTACCACTGAGGATCGTAATCGAAGGCTCGGCATGTAACATATGCAATTGCATGTAAGCCACATGACCACATATCGTCTTGCTTCTCGATTGCAATCTCATACCTTACTTTTACTTCATTATTTGATGTTAAATGCCCGAACATGTTGAAAATTTGCTCTGCTAGCCCTTGATTTAACTAAAATTATATTTAAAAACTCGAATTCAATTAAATTTTATAATCACATTTATGACGCAAGCTATAATTTTTTTGAGAATTTTAAATCGCATCCATGTAATGGTTTGGTCAAGAATATATTTATTCTTAAATTGAAGGTAATTTACGGCATCTCTTGCTTTTCTTCTGGAATTAGCAAGCGAATCGAACACAACAACAGTGTCCTCAAGAAAATTCCGTTCAACCAACACGTAGTGCTCCCTTCTTTGATCCAGAAGAATTTGAAGCACCGGTTTCCTTGAAGTTATAAATTTGTCTAAATTTTGGGGTTCCAGCTGAAAAAGTAGAACTGGTGCAAATATTATTATAAAAATTAATAGGGTTTCAAAAGATTACAAACATCTAGGATGCTAAGAGCGACTACGAAAACCTGAAGCGACATTTTGCAAGCCAAAACTTCGTCTTCTATAATTTGAACTGATAGTCTAATTCAGCAGGTCAACAATGATTTCATGGAGTAGTGTATTACATATGTGATTAGCTAGAAATCAGTCTGTCTATTCAGTGCAATAATGCATAGAGCAATTTAGACAGTTTAAATGATTATGATCAGAATCGATCAAGGCACTTACAAGAATGTACTGCATAGCGAGCATTCCATCAAAACGATTGCGCAGTGCAGTGTTCAACTTGTCACAGTATTCATTGATTAAGTCATCTGCAATCCTTTCGCCGTAACAAATCTAGAATCAAGCAAAAGCAATGATTCAGTTGCAGAAACAAATTTGAGCAATTTTGGAAAGATATTGCTTGCTTGCATTCAAAAGCATTGTTTACTTGTTCATGATGTACTCGTCTTTTTCTGCTATTTTTCCAGATACTCTCTGCCCCACCGCTGATTCGATTTTCATTTTTTCTTCCAGAATCGACACTTTTTTTCTGTGTATAACATCCATGGTGATTGCGAATTCTTGCACGTACTATAGCATAACTGTCGTTTTGCGTTAGTGAAGAACGGGCAAAAATGGAAGAGGTAGGTAATACTCGACGTGTGCTTCTAATCGATGGTCTTCTGAAAAGTACTCTCTTCAGTATTTATCTAACAAAAATTACTTTGGTCTGTAGCATCTTTAAATGTAAAATATGAGTAAATCTCTCTTTTTCACATACATTATTCGATTTCCGTGAAAACTGCTTAAAAAATAATAGTGTGATATAAATTAGGCATAATGGTCGACTATTACGTAAATAACTGTTAACAAGTTAGACATTTACAGCACAGAAGTGAAGAAGACGGTGCTTAGCAAGCAAATAAAGTGTAAAATAATCTGTTATTCCCCACATGCGTATTTTTTTCTTGAAATTCCAAAAAGTAAGCATGTTTCTGGGGTTGCTTGCTATCGGGAACACATTGCGTCGGAAATATCAGACAGATACTCAACCAGTCATAGAATTTTTTATAGCGCAGAAATATAGAATATAGGACTTATCATATTTACCAACTTATAAATTGATTGTATGCGTAACTTGAAAGTAATGAAATAGAAAAATTTTGACGCAAAGTTATTCTAATTACATGAGGTTTAGTTGGAGAAGTGGGAGTGAAATCTTGACCCTTTTGGCTCTCATCTCAGTTTAGGAATCAGTCAAATTGTGTTAGTAAGATGCTGAGAATGGTTCAGTGGTTTAGAAATGCTAATTTGACTACCTTTAATGATAACTGCTATGGGTCCGGATGTAACAAGTTTACACGTAACAAGTATCTATTGCGTAGGGTTTGCTGTCTTACTTTTTCCAAACTTGCTTTATGCAAAGTACTACTTTATTGACACAGTTGTAATAATTATCTTTAACATTACTATTACCGCTCTCATTATTATCCGAATTCCTGCATTCATTTTATTTCATTTACTTATTTTAAAATGACTTACGATATTTCCACATTGTTTTTCTCTTCATCCTTATCTGATGCACTGTCATTGTTCGCCGAAATTAGTCCCATGGTCAAGAAGAAAAAATCTAACGTATGGATTAGCGCGACGAAGATGCACACAAGACTGCACAACCGACGAACTCAAAACAGACTGTAAAATTCAATGAAATCTCATTCATGCAACAACTCATTAATTATATTCCGTGAATAACTGTGAAAATTTGCATATTGTGTTAAGATTTGAATCAATAATTGTGAAAAATTTGCATATTGGTGTTGGAATAGTCAAAAGAGTTGTGGTGTGCATGATTTCAGCTTTTTCAGTTACATTTCTTACTTATGCGCAATTTTTCAAAATTTTTTTCTTTCTTAACTTTTTATACCTTAATATTTGCTCTTATTTCGAAGGAGATGATATTATACCAGAAACATACAGAGTCATGATGTATTGTTGAAGCTATAAACTTGTGTTATTAAGATACTGTAGAAATATGAAGTAAACTCACGTTTTTGTATTATTCTTTAGCGAAAAGAGATTTTTTTAACTAATTTCTACTAGCTTTAATACGAAATCCGTCTTCTTGCTTGTATTAAAACTTTGAAGTATTCGCTTTTATGAATATGAAATATATCAGACGAAAAACAGATTTGAATAAAGTTAAATCTTTAGATGTTTGGATCGGAAATAACCCTTCAACACTTTTACGTATCAGATGAGCAGGATTTGTTCCTTCAGTGCTCCTCATTACGTCGTCAAGTATTTTGCGATGAACAGCATGTAGAAGAATCAATTGAGTTCGATGGTAAAGATGAAGACTGTCAGCACATTGCAGCTTTTAAGAGAGGAGGCGGCTGTGTCATTGCTACTTGTCGCTTACGTTTTGTTGATTCCTACGTGAAACTAGAACGAGTTGCGGTCCATAAAGTATTCTTATGCTTTTTTAATCTAAAACTAGATTTTTCATTAGTGGATAATATATTAATTCATTGTGTTTTATGTATACATAATAATGTAATTTTATTGTGATCTTTAGTGGTCAGTGACATTGTTCGTTAAAAAACATAAACTCTACTTTCCGAAAGGTACTGTGATCTTTAAAAATTGACTTTTTAGTTTTTAGCAAGACTGAAAACAAATTTCGTTTTGAATTTTGCTGAATTTCTAAAATCAGCGATTATAATCAGCTTAATATTTTAGTTAGCTTGGTAAATTTTAACTGTAAAAACTTGAACGCACTACTTTCATGGAAAACTCAGTAAAAAGTCAAGTTAGCAAGGGTTTTTGACAAAGTTTCTTTGAAAAAATAGTTTCGAGTACTTTTATTTTGATATTATGGAGATAAAAAAGCATTAATTATCTAAAGATCAAAATCGAAAATGATCTGAAATTTCCTGTAATTGTTTATCACAATATTGATTTCAATAAAGCAGGAAGTAATTCACGTATCACAGAACAAATGAGTAGTTTTGGCTCGTTGGAGCAGAAACTTTCTTATCGCCTACTGCCAATTTATTTTTAGATTTTTCTTTCAATGACGAATAAGATATGAGGTAGGTCGGGATTTATAATTAAATTTGCATTTTAATCTTAATTACAAACTGACATCCATTTATTCGCTGTTAAATTTTCTAATTTTTTATTTAAAAAAATTCTAAGCAGTAAGAATATGTTTTGCAGGATTGGAGGAAACGATATATTGGTTATCAGATATGTCGACATGCTATTAGATTATTAGAAAGTCACCATCATGAGAAAATTTTGGTGACGTATCCGTTTTGTAGCGCGATAAAATTTTTTGAAAATCTTGGTTTTACGGTAATATCGGATGAATTCACGAGTGCTGAAAAGGCACACAAAGTATGTTTTGTCCTAATTAGCTTTACACTCGATATGCTGCGAAATCAGTTTTTGTAAACTTTTTTTAAAAGCTGATTTTAAGGCTTGAAAAAGACTACAATTAGTAGTTTCCAAAGTTAAATTTGAGCTGAAATTTAGTATCAGAAAATGCTTCGTTTTTCCTGCTTTTTTATTTGCCCCTTTTCTATGAGGCATAGAAAAGTTAAGTCATGCATTACTTTAGATAATGCTCTATTATCCTCGAAGAGACAGATTATCGAAATTAGATATATGTAATATTGATGTTATCAATCGCAAATATGCGCAAGGTGATTGTTTTGATTCTTCGGTTATAAAAAAATTAAACGATGCCATTCAGTCATTCAAGGTCAGTTTGATAACTTTGATCATTACAAGTTTTTGAATAATATCAGTTGGTTTTTTTTTTGCATTGTCAACTCTGTTTAAGATTGATATTAAGTAATAAGGTCAGCTAAAGCTGTTGAATTGTTCCTTCATAGTAAAGGTCATATCATATTACTTGCAATATTTACTGTTACTGCGGGAATTCTCAACTTATTTCTTTTCCCTTTGTGTTTACTCACATAAAATGAATTAAGCGTATTTTAGGAGCAGAACATTCCCAGATTAGTACATTTACAGTATCTAGCAGATGAAAATGTTATTGGTTTATCGTTGATTCGAGTTTATAGAGAATGTGCTTGTGCAACACTAACGCAAAATTTCAAGCGAAGCGAAGAATTGGAAAATTTTCTTGAAGCGATGGCTTGGGAAAAATTAAACACTGGTCATTATGCGGAAGTGAATGAAGCATGGAGGATTTTGTACGCAATAGTTATGTCTTGTAAAGCTGTTCGCTTAAAGTTTGAACAAAAAGTGCAAGTTAGTATTTCTGTTTTCGTTATGATTTGTAGTAATGTAAATATAACAGTTTTGGTTCTGTTTTCGAATTTTGTCTATTTAGAATATAGTTTGTCTTATCACAGTGATTCAGGAAGCACTACACGCATGCGATATGGGATTGATTATGGGTCGTGATGTTGATGGATCTTCCTTGTCAAGTTTTGCTCATTCCTTGCATTCCTTTTTACCCAAATCAACATTTTCTGTATTAATAAAAGTAAACCACATGTACTTATTTTCAAGAAGGTATTCTTGGTGCAGTAAATATTGAAAGGTTCTAAATTCGATTTTTACAGACAAAAAAGCTTATACAGCCACCAGCTTCTCTGTCAAATTCATTAAGTATCGACGTTTACGATCTTCCATCGTTTGAAACAATGTTGGAGATTATGAGGAAGCAAAAACCAGCTATTATAACAGGCCTGGTAAGCCAGTGGCCTGCCTTTACAAAGTGGAGGTTAGAATTGCAGATTTTGATCTTAGATTTTTTGAATATATGCTATTTACTATTCATCACAGTATGTTTTGCAGTTTCTCATATTTTAATGAAATTATTGGCTATCGTACTGTTCCTGTTGAGATTGGTAGCAGTTATGCTGATATGAGCTGGAAGCAAACTCTGATGAGTTTTCATGATTTCATTGAGAAATTTGTAGAAAATGAGGTAAGTTACAGATATTCGCCGTTTTCAATTTATTGATTTCATAATTGTGATTTCTGATTGGCAAAAAATGTAATCATGTTTAGCTTATTTTCCATAATTAGATTGTATTTCAGACTATTGTGTATTTAGGCACGATTTCAGTAGAGTAAAATTTTTTCTTTCCTTTTTTAAAAGAAGAATTGAAACTGCAAAGCAGAAATTTTGTGAAAATGGTAATGGTGTTTAGTATTTTCGTCCAGATAATTGTATTTTAAGTATCGGAGATTTAAATTATATATTTCTTTAGTAGTTGTAGCATAAGGAAGTTTGCATTTCAAGTATATTTTTTATCCAAACAATTTAAAGAGTCCCGATGGTCCAGGTTATTTTGCGCAACACCGGTTGTTTGATCAAGTTCCAGAATTACTTAGTGATATTATTGTTCCTGATTACTGTGCACTTGGAAAAGATGGAATTGATAATGTGGATATGAATATCTGGATTGGGCCTACAGAAACTGTTTCTCCACTACATTTTGATCCAAAAAGTAACATATTCTGTCAGGTAATCATTCAAAAAGTTTTTACTTCCTGTCATTTTGCTTATATATGTCTAAAATTTGTTAGCAAAATAAACTAATTTTAATCTATTAAAAAAATTTTTTCTTTAAAGTATCCAAAAGAAATGCAGAACCTACAAATCTGCCATAGAAGACGATAATCAGCAATAGAAAATTTTTAGGTAATTGGCAAGAAATTTTTACGAATGGTGCCTGAAGCTGATAGTAAAAATGTATACCCTCAAGAAAATGGAATTTTGACGAACACTAGTCAAGTATGCTTGTCTTTATCCTTCATTTCACAGTTTTAGATGACTATATTTATATCATCTAATATTGGTTGGTAGATAAAGATGATATGGTAAGAGTGAAGACTGTTTCCGGACAATTTTTCATGTGTATTGAGTATTAATTATAAAAAAGTTTTAGCTTAATCTTAGAATAATTCTGATGCTTTTAAGCTTGAAATTAAGTGGAATTTAGAAAGCATCTCCAAGTATTTAATAAATTGCATATATTTAAATTGCAGGTTGATGTACGTAATCCCGATTTAACAAAATTTCCACTCTTCGCTGAAGCTCATGTTTTTGATTGTGTACTAAATCCTGGCGAATGTCTGTATATCCCTGCTAAATTCTGGCATTATGTTCTTGCTCTTGATCCTAGTATATCAGTGTCTTGTTGGTTTAATACCGAAGTTTAGTCAACTCGCTTTGATGAAACTTGTTTGTTGCAACTTCAGTCAACGAGACTGTAATTTTGACTGCAATCTTGTTGTGAAATTGAATGGTCTTTTGTTGTACCTTAGGCATGGTGAATAAAAATGTTGCATAGGGATATTTCTCATTCAAAAAGACATAAAATAAAATTTTTTCAATTTTAAACTAAAACTGACATCCATTAATTAAACTAGAATATGTGAGTAGATTTAAATAAAAACCACGTAGTAGTGGAAATCATTCTGTTGATAAGCAAAAATTATGGAAGATAATTTTTTGAGTAAGAGCGACATTTGCTGACTTGATACAAAGTTGCAGGCATCCAAATAAAAAAAGTTACAGTTCCATGATTGAATCTAACATTGTAGAATCCAGTGTTTTGCGTGAGTTTCACGGGCCAGCTAATGTGAGCTAGGTTGGCTAGTACTTTAATATTGTCCCTTTGTGCTAACTTATGAATGGGCGAAGTGTCACCGATTATTAGTGAATATATGAAGAGCAAAGTTTATTCATATGGGTAGAATTCCTGTTTTGTAACGAATAATCCGTGTTGACGGACACAAAACGACGTTTGCGAGGTTGAAGGATTGATGGTATGAGATTAAATAGATTAAAATTTTTTGCTCAGATAATCCGCTCTTCGGAAAATGGCTGATTTGGGGAATAAATGACATGAATATGAAATCACAAAAATGAGTTTTTTTGCTAACGAATCTTGTACACATGAGTTTATTTTAACTACTGTATATATTTATTCAAAGTAGAAATAGTAAACAATAGTAAAGATACATTTTTACAAGTTGGACTATATATGTAGGTAGATAGATATAGATTGGTAAATACAATCTTTAAATCATATATTCCAATACTTATTATAAATTAGGGCAACTTGTTAGAACTAGTTTTTCAACAAATTTTGACTTTTTACAATTTTTATCTTGTGGACCAATTTCGCCATTTTTGCTATTAACTTTCTCTGATTCGAATCCACAAATGTTTCATTTAAGAGAGATACCTTCCTAGTTCTCAATGTATGCTGTCAAGTACCTTTAATAAATAGTTAACATCCAAAAATTCTTGTTGCCAGAAATTGAGACGAAGATGTTTTTGGTTGAATCTTAAAATCTGAGTTTTCTCAATTTCTGGAGCTAATAATGATAAATAATGCAGATGGGGAATATTATCTGACATGACAAGCACGCTCAAAAAGACTCTGATGTCTTGCTGTGAATTACTGTATGGTACGCAAGAAGAGGATATCTTTTACAGTATTTATTCTTTATGAGGGAGATAGCTTAGCATTTCTTTACTATTCATACCTTCAGCTTCAAATGCACATTACTTTCTCACTTTACGATGTGCAGAAGAATACCTTAATATTCTGCTCGAAAGTGATAGTAGTATTCATGCAAATTATTTGGGCTTTTAGAATGCTTGGAATTTGGAAAAATGGTTTACTTAGGCGGTGCATTGTTTTTGATCTTCCAAATAATGTCTTTTGGGATTTTATGCAAACAAAAATAAGCAAACAAATTAAATAATTCTTCAAATTACGGAAAAAGTGAAAGTTTCTGCAAGCAAATTGCAAACAAATTAAGACGTCTATCAATGCCATCGCACTGATCAAACTTTACTTTTCTTACTTTCAACCAGAAAGTGTTTACTTGCATTGTACGTAAAGATATCTAATATCTTTTTTGATGCAGTCGTATTTCACGTCAATCCGCTCGCTTCTGATCGTGATTTGCGGTATTTTCAAGCATATTGCATGCATGTAATCATACGAATTCAAGCACGTACTTATTTAAATATTAAATTTTTTTCATAGTACACAGTTGATTGAATTTTCTGATACAATGATAATTCTATTATAAAAATGCTTTCTCAACATAAACCGAAAGAAGTAATTCACAGCTGGATATTGTTGCAAACGGTAAAATCAAACGCTAATTTATGGGAATTCTCACCTACTGAGGAATTTTTCAGAATTAAAGTAATCGAAATTTGCTTTTCTGTCAGTAATTGCAATGAAAGGTAGTAATGAGTATTTATTTCTCGAGAATAATGCCAAGCTCATTTACAAAAAAGTTGTTAAAAATTTTCCGTTCTTTTCATTATTATTACCCCTTACTTTTCACACAATATATTCAACATTTTGCATATAATTTAAGTTGGCTTTAGAAATTATTCTCTTAGCCCATAACTTAGCTAATTACTTTGACAATGTCCCTTTGGCTAAGATTACATCACTATACTGTATACTTTTTACACTTTTTGTTTTATAGATAATTGAGTTTTTGCTTTGAAGTAAGGTAATAGCAATTGTACTGCAATGAAAACTATCTTCTACATTAGAGGATCGAGCATTTTCATACTTTACACTATTAACATAGTACCATTTACGTCAATTAAATATTCAGTAAATTCGTGACAAAATATTATCCTTTCAGCTTCCTTACAATAATATCCAACAATCTTGTGTGGTTTCATCAATTTTAATTTTTTGTTTCCTAGCAAGTAAATACAAAATTTGTTCAGCTTATTCCATCACTTACTAAAATCATTTGATTCTCATTTACTTATTGCTTCTTGAAAAATTAATAAAAATCATTTAAATGCATAAAATTAAATCTTCAAATTTTCAGAATAATCTGTAATTTACTGGCAAAAGTGATTCTTACTTCTGCTAATATTTATGTAACCATGATATGGATGAAAACTTTTCTAATTTTTTAGTGCACGTAGAGAATAAGCTATACTTGCTGTAATTGCAAGAGCTATTGCAGCAGTTTGAACCACACTAACTTGTTGAGTAAATTAAATTATGTGCATATTAAAATATGATTAACTAATACAGCTGCTGATCATCCCATCAGCTTAACTCTAAACTTTGTTCTGAAATAAAACAAGCAAACGTATTTTGCTAATTAAGCAAGATAAATATCTTTCGAAAATGAGCTCTAAATCGAATAAAAATTTTATTAAGTAGTCAATTCCTCGAAAGTTATTCAAATGGTAAAAGTTTATAGAATATCGAAAAAGTCCCTGAAAATAGAAGTACAGCAATTTGCATAAGCGATGAATTACCACGGGTAAGTAGTGCTCGTTGAGGTAAAAATTATAATACTTTAGTGGTTGTCATCGGGCAATTAGGTTCGACCTTGAAGTATTTATTTCACTGACCCACCCGTACTTTAACTCTAATCCAACTCAATTAACCCATCTACCTGACCTGCACTAACCTGGCACCAATCATGGATCATTATCATATTTTGTTCGAAAGTATCCTTCATAAATCTTTCATTTCAAATCATTAAAATTTCCAAATGCAAATTATTTGTTATACTTTTCTCAACAATTATCTCACGTTGTAACTTACATTTCCATTATTAGAAATCATATTTTTGTATTATTTCATACTCATTTACTACTTTCACCTCCTACTACTTATCAGTCATTGTCAATCATTAGTGGTGATAATAAGTGGCATTGTTTGCACATAGTTTATGATAGTTAATATCTTTATGATTATTAGCGTGATAGATTTTGATTATCATACGTTATTCATTACTTATAATCGTCGTCATTAATGTTGGAAAAAATGTTGATTGCTTTTAAAACTGCCACTAAATTTCAACAATTCTATCTTATCACACTGCATAAACTCGATAAATAACAAAAAAATGCAAACTGAAATCCAATTAATAAATTAAATTTATCAGAAATAAGAGATTTTCAGAAAGGCCTTAATCAAGTTCATTTCGAATATAATGATTTTTATTTTTCATCTAAAAAAGTAGTACTTTGAAATTTCTTTGCATGTATTATTTTCGGAATCATAGAATATTTGAACTCATATATTTCTAGCTTTATTAGTTCATTTGTCAATTATTCATTAAAAGTTTTATTGTAATCCTTTTTAAAAATATTTTTGCCAATTTTCAGTTTTAATTTACAACTTATGATTTGTTATATGCGGAAATATTCTAGGATAAATGGCTGTAAATACTGATTGATGGATTCACAACTCCACTTTTTGTATCAATACAGAATATTTAGGGAAAAAGTGTTTAAATCAAATGTTTTAGAAGGCTAACGTGTTGCAATTTAAGCTCAAGAATATCTAAATTTAGCGTAATATGTATGGATTTGCAGATATGTGTGCCAAAATTAAATTTAAAGCTACATAATACAAAAATACCTTTACGTGCCTATCAAGTTCAAGTCTGATTTTGCTTGCATTACTTGCATATTATCTTTAATAATAAATCTCAATCTGAAAGTTATCCGGAGTTGGAAGAAGTTAAACCACTCAAAACTTGAGTAAGTCTGAAGTACGAGATAACTTTGAGGTGGTTATTTCGAGATGATTTTCTATCGGTCAGTAATAGTAAGCGTAAAAAGTAATCGTAGAAGTGCAAAATCAAATTTGAAACGCTGAGATTTTATTCTACTTTCGAACAGTACAATTGATGAAACTTAAAGAATTTGAATGTTTAGGTAGATGTTTTGGATTATACGCTAATTTATTTCATTAAAGCTGAAATTGAATTGTTCCGAGCAGTTTTCAAGTCAAATATCACGTCAAATCACTTAGATCAACAAAAAAATATTCTTACCAGATATCTTTATCATGTTTTAATGAATAGAACTCAGAACAAACTGTATGCAAAATCCATTTAAAGCCAGAAAACTTCATAAAATCATTTCAAAACTAAACTTCTGCAAAAATAATATATGAACCGCTAACTATAGAGTAAAAATGTATTTGTAAGAATTGAAAACCTTTTTTATTTCATTTCAATTCGGTATTGCATACTTTTGAAGAGCTAAAATTTCAAGTAACAAAATCTGTCCATAAACATCACAAATGGGGATTGCCAGTTTTTATCGATATTTAAAATTTTTTTGAATTTTTCGAATTCTGGATTCTGAAGGCAAAACTCATGTAAAATAAAATTTTTGTAAAAAAAAAAAACAATCT